TTGTGTCACTCGCCTAGAGGTAAGCACTGCTATTTATTTTTGTGTAAACATACTAATATTTTTTAGGGGTGTAATTCGTGTCAATTGTAATAGGCTCTCTTATAACTATTTAGATTGTCGATCCTATGTTGAATTCTTTAGCATGATCATACATGTAGTAACCTTCGTTATCGTTCATAATGAATTAGCTTAGGGATAAGCATAACTTTACTTTGATTTATTGCTAATTAGTTCTTATAAGTTGAATTTTTATATTGGAAAAGTTAAATTTATTTAATTTAGCTTTGTTAAATATAATGAACATCATTCCTCCAAATCATAGGAAATATACAAATCATATATGACGTGTTGATTTATATAATATTTATTGGTTATTCATAAAACAAATTATCTTGTATGATTGTATAAATGTCGGTGGAACCCTAATGCTTTTAGGCTAGCTGGGGTCAACGGATCCCTAGAGTGACGACTCTACAAAAAATGACTAGATTTCCTTGGGTTAATATTTACCTTCCCGATATGGGTATATGATGAATCGACTATAAATATATATGTTTAAATAAAAGAAAACATAAGCAAATGTGAATTGGAAATAATAAATGACTATGTGTCATTTTGATGTATAATGATACCTAATATGATTGCATTTTCAGACATTAAAATAATTGAATTGATAGTGATTTGCCACATACTTTAATGTCACTACTATATTAGATCTTTGTTGTAAGAAACATGGCATGTGTTAGTGCTATTTGCTTTGATAACTTAAAGTTGTTACTTATACCCTTTGGTTGTCTATATTGCATGTCACATTTCTTTTTTCGTTTATGCTTTGATAGATAGTAGTTTCTTGTTGAGTCTGATTTATCAAACTCACTCAATGTCTTTTTTAGTAGGTCCTACAGACGTGTTTTGTGGACCGCCATCACAGGAGCAGGATTATCAATAGTATATTGTTTTTTATATTTATTATTTTGTAGTAGTTTATTATGTTATGTTTATGATTTCTATGGGTTTGGTAGTTTCTTTCTTGCATTTCATTCTATTTATATTAGCTTGTATTAGAACTCCTGTTATTAGATGCTTTGGATATTTGAACTTTTATTAATGAGCTGGATCCTTATTTCACTTCCTTTGTTTACTCTGATGTATATATGTATCATTTGTATATGCAAGTTATCTTTCTGAATACAAAACATGTTTTCTTATTCATTCATTGCGTCACGTGTTGCCAGGGTGTACCGGCTTCCAGTCCCGAGGCGTGACACAAGCAAACCGTGCAATTTTCTTCTATTTTTGAACTTTATGATTTGTTGAGATTGAAATGCTGCCCCGCCGATGGTGACTCTAGACTCAATAGATATCAAGACTATGCTATGCGTGTATCTTTCTCTTGAGCAAGGCTCAAAGAATAGAAACTTATATGACAACATACTTCCCCTATGTAACAGATGATCCCAAGGTTTATTTTGATTTTGAGATACTAGCTTCATAGATATCTAAACCCTTATGTTTAATTACATCATATACATGATGTTTGACGAACACTCTCAATCAAGACTGATTGTTTTCATCCTCTATGGGATTCATTGTGTGATATGTGTGCGTGCTCACAAATGAGAATCTTGTAGCAAAAATAATGACAGTAATACAACTAAAGTAAATAGATAATATAGAGATGAAATATTAATTTTATTATCGCATAAAGAAAAATTTTATGATTTGAAGATGAATAAACCCTATTAAGTTACAATGTTAATCTTAGGGCAATGATTTATGAAGAGCACACACCAAGCAAACAATTAGTCGACTAGATTCCAACCCAACATAGTTGATGGTTCAAACTAATGGATTAGCTATAAGAAAACTAGCTCATCCATATAATATTTGGTGAACAACTCAGTCATCACGGGCTATGAGTTTGATGACTCTCTGACAGACCTATATAGTTGTTATCTTAGAGTCGATGGAAGTTTATGTTGAAGGCTACAACTGAATTGTGTTTGAAGTGATATATGGCAAAAGTTTTTCGAAAATATTCACTACTTAAAATCCTTTAAAAAATAAGGATTTTAAAAGTTGAATATATATTAATTAATGTTATTAGTGAATCAAATAAATTAATGATATCACCAATCTAATATATGTGTTGGATACACTAGTGTATGTATGCAAGTGTAGGAGAAAAATTGATTTAAAATGTGAGCAATTTAATTTTCACATAATAATATTATCATATTGCTCAACAACAACTACACAAATTCATATTCAACTGAACTAGAACTAGTTTTTCATATGTTGATGAAAAAACTAATTTTAAGACCCACCATATGCCTTTGTTATCCTACACACACTTTACAAATAAGTCATAATATTCCTATTTAATGTAAGTAATCTACTACTCATAGTAGAACCCACTAGGCAATGAAAACTATATTGTAAAACCAAGTCAAAACTCTCTTGAGCTTTGGAGATGACTCAACATCTTTCATCTACATCTAAGACTTATTCGATCAATTACAAATATTGATTGCAAGTTGAACAAAATATAAGCAATCGAATACAATAAAACTTCTAAAAGATTCCGATAAAAATAATTTATATATAAACAAAGGAGATTTTATGTTGACGGTGAACCTTTAAAACTTTCTTGCAGTTTTCTCCAAAATATTTCACAAAATAAGCTTTCTTTCTTATGTTGTATTTTTGTCGGCCTTATGAATCCTTAGATATATACTCTTTTGTATTGTTAATGTGATCAATTAGCATATATATGCTAGGGTTATCTTAAGTAAGCATTTCTAGCAATTATACTTCACGAAGAAATCATAATCAATTATTGTTCGGTAGATAATATTGTATGATTTGCACCATATTGTGTGATGATTGTCCGATATGTTTAGATAGTACTATAAAACTTATATATATCAATATTTGAATTTTAAACATTCAATTATTATTTTTAGAATTAGATCATAATGTATCATTATCAATTGTATTGTATGTTTATATTTATTAATTCTCAATACAATCAACTATACGATCACAATAATATTGTACGATATTGCCAAACTTATGAAACTAAAATATATTCTTATATTTTTTAATGAATGATCTAATTACCATGCATAATAATATTTTCAAATAATTTTATCAATTTGCATTACATAAATAATTTTACCAAAGAATTTTTATATTTTAAAATAGTTGTATCAATTTAAGTAATATTAAAATTATTATTTGCATATAAAATATTTTGGTACATTTTAAATAATTATGTTCATCTTTCTTTGGCATGCTTTATAAATATGATCTTAAACATCTTTACTATACAACCTAGTCCTTATACACTAGACATTTTGATATTTACACTTTGATAAATTTGTTATTTCCTCTCCAAGTAAATAAAGATTCAGCTTACAGCATTTCTGAGCGAATAAATCTATAAGTCAATCTAACACACAATATTATCATCATCATGGTTGCTATCATATGAGTAAAATGTAACATATAGAAATATTTAGTAAACCAAATTAGATAATACACCGTATTTGATTTGTAATAAGCATATCCATAATGAACCACATATTAATCACTTGAGCTTATAAGGCAATTAGGAAGGACAAGTGAGACCAAATTAGTAGTTTGGAAGTCTATGACGCTGCTATCAATCTCATGTATTGATATAGGATTACATCGGTCTCAAATTGATGGATGTGTTAGAACATTGACTATAGCCATTAGTATGTGTTGGTGGGGTCCGGTACACTCACTATCAAGTGAAAATGTCACTAAGGAGAGAGAGAAGAAATTTTTGTTTTCACGTGGCTCGACTACATCATCTTACAGGATATGACATGCTTGATTTATACAAGATCGATGATTTCTAAGGGTGTCGATTATTGTTAGAGTTGCAGTACTGTATGTATGATCGACAATTTAACACATTACTTACGAAAAAGGAGGGACTAGGTCTCCCTAAAGAGCATTTTCTAAAAACCGTAAAAGGCACGCGGACTCGACATCTAGGGTTAGAATACTTAGCCTAAATGAGAGCTTATTCATGGGGTTTGTCATCGTTAGGAAAGCTGAGAGGAGGGGCATTTGTAACGAGGGAGAGGTTGGCCTTCTTGATTATAGGAGCAAAGGCCTTTGTTATCTTATAACCCAATAATGGGAGGGTCTACATTTAGTCTCTTATGCCTTTATCATAGAAAGGGAGATCATGGAGAGAGAGATTTGTGTCGAGACACAAAGTTACAAAAAAAATATTATACTTTTATTTCAAGAAATAATATAAATAAATTTGCATGAAAATTCCAACTTATAGTTCTCTAATAACATTTAAAAAAAAAAGATTATTTACTACAAGAATAAGTAAATGCATTGCCAACTTTACTTAGAATTAATTAGTTCTGAAGGCTTCATTTGGGACGACTTTTTATTGCTTCTTAAAATAATTTAAAAAAAAAATTAAAATTTTTTACTAAAAAACTGCTTAAGTAGTAAAAAAACCGTCCCAAATAAAGCCGAAGTCTCCATCAACCTTGCTTTGAGACAACCAGCAACTTTAAAACATGTGCAAATTCATTTAGCAAATTTGGTGAATAACACAACTCACTTTGATCGTTAGCTTAATGTTTTGACTATCAATCAAGAGATTTTGAGTTCGAATCTTACGTATATGATATATGTATACGTTTGTCTTTAGCCCAAATGTGTCCGGAAAAAAAAATGATGAATAGATTAACTACTTTTGACTCATGGACTTATGCTTCGTTTAGGACGACTTTCCTACCACTTCTTAAAGCAGCTTTTTAGTACAAAAATTAAATATTTATATTAGAAAGTTATTTTAAAAAGCAGTAAGAAAACCATCCCAAACGAAGCCTTAGTCATTGGGCAGACACAAAGTTCAATCTCTCAAATAGGTTTGCCTACTTAAACCAAAAAATGAATTCATCAAGCTTTTCATTAAAATCAAACATGGAGCCAGATGATAACTTTACCAACTGAAAGCATTTTTAATGGTGAAACAAAGACCTGTCATCTACATTTCCAAATAAATTACCATGCACTCACTCATAAATGTACAGATATCCATCCATTATTCAGAACCCAAACATCCAACACTTGTAAAGAAGACATAAAATAACACATAATACAAAATATTTACACTTACAAGTTTTGTAAAGCAATGATGAAGCGACAAGCTGATAATTCCATTTACAGATTTTGGAAGGCCTATGCCCTTTTACAGATCTGGCTTGCCAACAACTGCTTCATCACTAGAATCGTATTCATCCTCCGACATCTCATCACTCGATTCCTCTTCTGGGGGAGCCCCAGCTGCTTCATGTTTTGCATATTTTTCGCAGTATTCTGTTGAGAAAAGCAAGCATTGAAGAACAGAGAGTAAATTTCTAGAAAACTGTATGATTAAGGCTTCATTTGGGACGGCTTTCTTAATGCTTCTTAAAATAACTTTCTAGTACAACTTTTGTACTAGAAAGCTATTTTAAGAAGCAGTAAGAAAGCCGTCCCAAATAAAGCCTAAGGCTTCAGGCTTCATCTGGGACAGTATTCTTAATATTTTCAAAAGCAACATTTTTTGTACTAAAAATTGTTTTAGAAAATTATAAAAAAACCGTCACAAATGAAGTCTAAGATGAACATCAAATGCACGAGGATAAAACAAAGTTATAATTACATGAGAGCTAAACCAGATCCAGACCGACAGGAATGTAGTCAAATCCACTCAAATATACAAAAACAATGATAGTATTATGGCTTCCCACTCACCTTATAAGAAAAACTGGGCGGTTCATGCGTTCACCTCTATCTTTGAGGTCATGGGTTCTAGTCCCTACTCCACTCGGCTGTTATTTTCTTATTAAAAAAGAATCTCAAGTGTTGCCCATTGTCTCTTGCATAAAAAATTTTGTCCCATTCATTCTCTCATTGTAAGGGAAAATTATTAGGTACGGACACTGGACGTAGAGATAGATCCGGACGTCAATAAAATGTCGACACATGGTGTGGACACATGGATATTCAATATGTTTAATGTGTCCGCGAAACTTTAAGCCAAGCGCACCAAAAACACAACTAAATCGCAACTAAAACACAGGTAAAGCTCAACTAAAGCACAGGTAAAACGCAAGTAAAGTGCATAAAAAAGCGCAACTAAAGTACACTCCACGTGTCAAGTTTTTAGTGGATGTCCGGACCTATTTCTATGTCAGTGTCCGGACCTAATAATTTTCCCATTGTTGTAAGAGGCCTTCTGCCCCCTTTCATTATACAATATATGAGAATATTTCTTTTCTTTAAGAAAAAATAATCACCTATTCAATAGATAAGGCAATGGCGTGGCTTAGGCCTACACTACTCCTCACCCAAGAGTTACCAAGTATACAAGCCTACATTCTGCTCAAGAAACAAGTGGCCAGGCCGTATCTTCGACCTGTACAAAAATTATGGAATGAGAAGAAAAAATTTGATGGTGGGGTGTCCTTCTACACCAACCCTTAGCCTCAAACGGGAAAAATATAACTTCCTAGCTCCAACCTGAAGGACATATTGGCTTCACTTACACTAGTACTCGATTCCCACTCAAATAGAAGAAGTAAGAATTTTTTCTGTGAACCACAAGTTTTCGATTTTAAAAATTCTCAACCTTTTTTTATTTGGGCATGAAATCAATATTAATGGTTTTAATTTTATTATTATTATTTTTTTGTTAAGAGTTGTTATTATAAGAAGAAGAATTATATGATAAAAAATAACTTACAATTATTAAGAGCATCTAATTTTCATATTCTCCTATAATTTCTATATTCTATAAAGAGACATTAAAGAAATAAAAAGAAGAGAAATATTTTATTAATATAATACATTCAATAAAAAATAAAATAATTTTAATATGAATATTTTAACTTACTTGAACCAAAGATTACAAACTCCCTCTCAACAATGTACAAGGCTGCAATTTATTTGCTTCAAATTCATAAATTCATATGAAAGAGGTTTGAAGTTCTCAAAAAAAAAAAAACTTCAATGACATCTGTAGTTTTCAAAGTAAAAGAATAAAAATTAGGAGAGAGAAAAAAAGGAGGAAATAAAAAAGATAAAATAAATTGAGATTCACTTATGGATAGACATCATAGACTATGGAGAGAGGTATAAAAAGAGAGTTGCATGCTAAAATAAATTGTCATGGATTTGAGAGAGGAGAGTAAGAAAACTAAAAAAAAACGGATGGAATGAAACTTGTTTCTGGTAGATAGTTGATTAGAGAGAGAAGGTAAGAGAGAGAGAAGGTGAGAGAGATAACATAAGGCTAAGGATCAAGGTTGTGAAAATCAGATCGGACATAAAACCAGAAGGAGAGGTTCATGGTTCAATGGTTGGACCATAGTCAAATCGGGGTTGAACTGAATGTAATTTTTATAATACATAAATAATAAATGAAGTATATAATTTATTTAATATTATTAATTAAAAATAAATGCTATTTGCATTATAAAATTTTTTTTTTAAAATATATAATATATGTTATAAATTTAAGAAGTAAGAAATTCAATTTATTGAGTCCCACATCATTTAGGAAACTTCCTCTGGGTAATGTTTACATTTCCTTTTGAGCAATGAAGCCATATTAAATGCTTAGTTGGAATTTTTTAATTAAAAATTAAGCATTTTAAGTTTAAATTAATTTGTTAAATTATAAATATTACTTAATATTTTAATTTTAATGTATAAAATTATTTAAATAATTCAAAAAATGAACCGGCTAGTGCAAGGAAACCAAGGCCGATTCACCAGTTCGCCGGTTGAACCGACAGTTCTTGCCTGTTTATGCCGGTTTGATATAAAACTGGTTTTCATGATGAACAAGGCCGACCTTAAGATTGGTTCATGGTTGAATAGGTCGAACCAGTAGGTCCGGTTCGATTTTTAAAAACTTGCTAAGGATACTAGACAAAGAACAAGAGGACAGATCATAATAGGAGAGAGGGAGAAAGATAGGCCAAAAGGGGGACTAAAAGTAGCCGTTGAGGGAAGCACCGCTGACGAGGGAGATCGATGCCAAACAAGGATTCAAAATTGGTGTTTTAATTAAAAAAATTGAAAGCTGAGAATTGTTTCCTAAATTATACTATTTCAAAAAATTAATTTCCATCTTTTCCATGGGTAAAGCCCCCATTGTAGCTCTACCCTTGCACTCTAATAGCAAGATTAGTGACATGGCTTCAAACATACCAATCTAAACCCTCAAACCTAAATGTAATAATAAGACGGATGGTGTGGATTCAGACTATTTTGATCTGTGAATTCAACTCCAGCCAAGCAGGAAAGTTGATGGATTGTAGTGAGTGTGTTGACCTACACCATCCTGCAAGCTAACTCTAATTAAAATAGTGTTGTTATAGCAAAAAGAACAAGAACGGCTGAAGATCAAGACATGAGAAGAAGAGACCAAGCCGAACCAGAGAAACAGAGAAGGAAAAATATTATTCATATCTAAAGTGTAATACAGTAACGGTATAAATAGAAAACTAAACAAGAAAAATGCAATTCCTTTATTAGGTTAACACGTGTAACAGTCTTATTGGATAGTGCTAACAGCCCCCCCCCCCCCCCCCCCGCGCAAATTAAGAATTCATTCTTCCCGAATGGTTAATTTGTTTCATAGAGCTTGAAAGCGAGATGAAGTAAATGCCTTAGTTAGAATGTCAGCGATTTGATCAGAAGAGCTGGTGTGCTGGAGAGCAATAAATCTGTTGTCCATGTGTTGCCGGATGAAATGAAAGTTGATTTCGATGTGTTTGGTTCGAGCGTGGAAAATGGGGTTGTTGGCGAGAGCTATGGCCGAAGTATTGTCGCAGTAGATGGTAGTTGGAGTGGTTTGCAGTTCTTGAAATTCCGCAAGTAACCGACAGAGACAGACAACATCAGAGGTGGCGGAGGCGAGAGCCCGGTATTCGGCTTCTGTGGAGGACTTGGCGACGGTCGGTTGCTTCTTGACGGTCCAGGAGATGAGGTTGCGGCCGAGAAAAGTGCATATACTTGATGTAGATTTTCAGTCAACTGGATTAGCCGCCCAGTCTGCGTCAGCGAATGTGGTGAGTTGAAGGTTGCCGATGGTGAGGGGAAGGCCGAACTGAAGGGTTCCCTTGACATATCGCAGAAGTCTTTTAAGAATTTGAAAGTCATGTTGAAATGGCGCATGCATATGTTGACAAACGGTGTTGGTGGCAAACGCGATGTCCGGACGGGTGATAGTTATGTATTGAAGGGAGCCGACGAGTTTGCGGTAGAGTTACGGGTTGTCATACATTTGATCGGAGACGTTTTTGGTTGTGGACGGCGGGACCATGGGAGTGGTGGCAGGTTTGTAGTCTGAAAAACCTGCTGTGTGAAGAAGATTTTCGGCGTATTGTTGTTGTGAGAGGAAGAGGCCGAAAGAGGTCTTTGTTACTTGTATGCCTAGAAAGAGTGACACTTCCCCAAGTTGTTTGAGTTGGAAATTGGATTATAATTGATGGAGAAGATCGGTGATGGATGCTTGATTGTTTCCTGTAAGCAAAATGTCATCGACGTAGATCAGTATATATAGTTGAATATGCTTGCGATGATAAATTAAGAGGGAGGGATCAGAACGACTAAACCCGAATCCGAATGCTTGAAGGAAGGAGGTGAGTTTCTGAAACCAGAGACGCGGAGCTTATTTAAGGCCGTAGATTGATTTGTGCAATTTGCAGACGAAGTCAGGGTGCTGTTTGTTGGAGAATCCAGGCGGTTGCTTCATGTATACATCATCTGGTAAGTCCCCGTGAAGAAAGGCGTTCAAGATATCTAATTGTGAGACCGACCAGTGACGATTCAATGCAATCGTAAGGAGGATGCGTATAATGGTAATCTTGGCTACTGGACTAAAGGTTTCCGTGTAGTTCACGCCATATTCTTGAGTGAAGCCTTGAGTGACGAGGCGAGCTTTGTATCGGGCCACTGTACCATTTGGGTTAAACTTTGTTTTGTATGTCCATTTGCACCCGAGAAGCCGTTTATCGCGGGGAGGAGGGACAAGAGACCATGTTCCTTGGCGTTGAAGGGTCATCTTCGGACATTGCTGTCCGCCAGTGCAGATGTTGATTGGCCTGATTGTAGTACGTTGGATGGTGAGCGGAGTCAATAGTGGCGAGAAGATTGAGGAATTTCCTAGGTTTGGAGATGCCAGATTTAAGCCTGGTTTGCATATGATGAGAGGAGGGAATTGTTGCATTAGCAGGTGGCGCAGTGGGCTGAGTGGAAGGAGGAGTATTATGTTGAATGTAATAGGAGGAGGATTGTGTAAGGAGGATGTGGAGGGTACCAGG